ATGTGTGTCCCCACGCTTTCTTCTCCTTTGGAGGGTTGCCTTCCCCCCCCCCCCCCCCCCAGTAGCAAGGGCTCTAAGTAAAGTCAGTACAGTGATAAGTATTCTCTGATGTGCAATGATATAGTCAATGGATTCTGTGAAATGGCAACAAAAAGTCTAGACCAGGAGTCTGAGGGAGTGAAATGAAGGAGCGTAGGTTAATCAAATGCTGAAACCGCAGGGGGAATCACTGTGCACGTTACCGCAAAACCACGCCATGGTTCTGTCATTAATACAGTGAAAGAGAATATTTAGCGTTATGTTAGAACGAAGGGAATCCATTATTTTAAGGAAGATGTACAGCTACGGCATAATAGTTATCGTCATGGTAGCAAGAAAAGAAACAAAATGGATATAAACATGGTAGCAAGAAAAGAAACAAAATGGATATAAACGGACAAATAGGCATAGATTGCGAACGCCGTACTTGAAACAACTTCTCCAGCCCATACTTAACAGTATGTCTGGAGGGTGTCTGTATATGATAACACTTGACGTATTGCAAGACGCTTCTGATAGATGGCCGAAAAATTTCTATGGTTAAGGTCTGTGTAAGCCCCATAGCTAAGGTGTTGTTGGCAGGTACAAACCCCTACAAGTATTTTGAGCGACAACAGAGCTTAGTCCACGTCGAAGTAATCGAAACATGGGTCCAGAAAGAGTAAAAATGCATTGCAGAGCCCTTTCGTATCAGTGGCACCCGACAAAACGAGCGAACGTCTTTTTCCCTCTCGAGCGGGGTATCAAAATGGATTTGATATACCTCAAGCCTGCCGGACAACTTTGGAGGGTTTGCTGAATAACGAGATTCTAGTTGAAGCGCTTCTTGAAGAAGAAGAATTTTCTGTGCGTATAGAGTCTCATTTTTTGAAAGAGGAGCTATGAATCTATCAGTGTTCCAACCAGAAAGGAATGAAGGAGAACGATTTCTTCGATAGAGAAGTCCAGCTGTATTAGAGGAAGACTAGTATGGGAATTTGTACATGTGCAGGGTAAGCATTACAGTTCATATGAATGGAGTGGCCTATCGCATGAAAACCAAGAAAAGTTAACAACGACTAAAAGAACAGCGTGAAAACAACAACAAGTCAACTGGGACGATGAAAATAACAACAAGACAACTGGATTAACACGAAAAGAAAATAAGGCAGAGGAGACAAGTCATTGAAGATTTTCGCGAGATATTCAATTCGGAAGAGGAACTGGGATGATGTCACCAAGAAGATTGCAAGAAGTGTCAGAAACTCCCAAAATTTCGGCATGACCTTTGACTAGTACGTATTTAAGATTCAGCCTTCACATTAATTTCTGAGTGGTCGATCTAACGCTCCGGCAACTCTGATGAGCCTCTTGTAAACACTATGAGAATGATGCAACCTCGACAGCATCTGCAACGGCGCGAGAACTCGTCCACTGTAAGGTGTGTACGGTTTTGGGGCCCACGTTACGTCCCATCTGAGCCATTTCTTAAATAGGCAGCGTTCCTTGTGCTATTCTTGAGGATCGCAGTTCCATCCTAGGGAGAAATCTCAGGAATCAGTGCCTCAAAGTTGGCCGTGTCCTTCAATGCAAATGGTCTACCCACGTGCATTTTTGATGGTCCTTAGAAAGGATAATTATGGGATTCATTACAGTCGAACAATCATTGTAAGTCAGAAATTATTGCAAAAAAGGTACTACCTCAGTCGTAATTCCATTTTGGACTCCAGATTGGGAATACTTTTAATGCTCTCGCCAGGCCTATTAGCTTTCGGGAGGTATTTGAGGGCGTGAGCCTGTCTCTGTGAATATAGGTGTATCCTTTTTGAAAAAGTCATTTATCCAGGCCGACAAATCTCAAACAACGGTCTCCGAAGAACTTCATTCTACACCCCCATGTCATTATTCTGAAACTAGCCTTCTCAAAAGGAACGTTTTGGAAATTGCCGATCAGGATGCACATCCGTCCCACTAAACTGATTTACGCTGTTGGCTTGCCATTTCTTCCCCTAGACCAGGAAGAATCAATGTAAGAACATCTCAGCGTTGACTCA